AGATATCCCTCAGCCACATGGAAATTTTTGCAGACTTTGGCACTGTCTGCACTCTGGCAAGTAAAAAAATTAAAAAAAAAAAAGAATCCCCAAACAAAACCCAGGCAGTATTAGTGACAGGAATTAGTTTACAAAACAGTACAGTGTGTCAGCAGCAACCAAGGAAGGAGAGCCACCCAGACAGTCCTGCACACAAGATTAATTGAGAAAAATAAAACTGATGTGCTGGTGAAGCAGTTTACAATGAAGAGTTTAACTTTTACTATGGTAATAGTCCAATTTGTAAATGGACTGGGAAAGATACAACAATCAGGGTAGCAAGGAATTATTCTGGAGACTCTTGCACTGATCAAGAGTAAAGATCAAGAGTTCAAGGTAGAAGGATGCAGGACTGTGCTTTGTCTGGAACATCTTGTGATACATGCTTAGGAAAAAGTGTAAATTCTCTTAAAGAAGATCAAGAAGAGCCATACATTAATGCCTTAGGCTGGCAATAAAACATTCACATAAGGATTGAAGCAAAAGTTAATCTGGCAGTTCACTGCACAGGTCAACAACAGTACCAGAGAACATGGTGAAGGCAGTCTGTCCCTTCTGAAGAGTTTCAGCTCACACTGACATGGACTCTTCGTTCTGCCTGCACAGCACCAGTGTGTATTATGTGTGTGACTAATTCTGGAACTTGCTGGGCAATGACTGATGACATTTCTCTGGGCAGACAGGCAAGGGGCAGCAATGGAGCAATGGAGATACCCCTAGAGCAAACTTGGGCTCATTACTTCCATTTTAGCAACTGCAGGTGGGAAGTGTCAGTCTTCTAACAGGCATTTTCACAGCAGGGGAAGAGCCCTCCATGTCTTTTTTTGTCAAAACCCCCATGTCACATCTGAGTAAAAACTTGTAAAGAGAGAGATATCAAACGTTTCACTTCAGTTGCTCACTTTCTTACCTATTAGCTGGAAAATTGTCATGCCTGAATATCAGTCAAGTGTTTATTTGTTTGTTTTAATAAGAAGCAAATACAAGTTTTATTTCTGAGGACTATATTTGTATATTGTTAATGATCTTTCCCATGAGCATGCCAGCTAAAGTTTGCATGAAAAAAAAAACCAGACTAAAGGATATCATTAAAATGGGTCCCGAGAACCTTTCAAATGATTCACAGTGGTCTTGTCCTAATTAAAATTGAATGTGAAAACAAACATGCTTGAAGTTTTCTAGGATGATTCTGTGTATTTATGAATTTTGTCAGTCTGGCCGGCCCATATGTGAAAAAATGAAGCACATGCAGTTGAAGTTTAAGATCCCAATCATGAAAGTAAGCTGCTTGAATTTAATTAACTTTGTAGGGAATGATACAAGTATTTGATCTCACAAATCCTTACAGCACTTGTAAGTACTGTAGCTTGTTAACTCATTGGAAGGAAATTCAATCTGAGTTTCAATATATGTCCATTACTGGAATAGAAAAGCATCTAATGTGCAAAAACTTCAGCCCTGAGTAAGACATAGCAATACTTAGGGCCCCACTCCACCTGCCCTCAGAGCTAGTATGCATATTTCCAAATTTATGCAAGGAAAATAATTGAAAGAGAAATTTCTTTTTAATGCAATGCATTTTTCTGTCTATTTGAACACAAGGATGGACTAACTGGAGGGCACTAAAAAGCTGGACATAGGTGATGGGTTGGCTAGAGAAAGTGAGTCATTGCCTTCCTGGTACAAACCCTTTGGCTTCACTTGGCTTAACACCGTAAGATGTTCAGAACAGCTGCAGACTGGATCTAAAACCAGCAAGCAGTTTAAATAGACAACCTGTGGAAAAAAATTAAATACAAACACCCATATCCCTGGGAAACCAGTAAGGCATTAAGGCAACACTGAACTTGTTGAGTAGAGCACAGCATTCCCTGTTACAAAATGGATGGATGTCCATACACCCCATGGGATGGGGTGAGGCATCTCTGAGTGGGGGGCTTCTGACTATTTCTGACTATTTCTTTCAACATATATGATACCATCCCATGAAGTGTATAGACATCTAACTTTTTTTAAAATAAAAAACTAGGTGGAGGAAGGAAGCTGGAACTCTGAGGATCTGAGGGGATTAATTCAGACGGGTGCTTGCACTCCTGCAGGAACTAAAGCCAGGAATCCTTCAGACTAAGGGTACCTACCTCATTTCTTTCAAGGAATGGAGTAAGATTAACTGTTTTCTTTCAAAGTGGCACCTACTTTTTGCCTCTTTGACTGGTGATGAGTACTCCTTAGGAAAACAAGAGATCAGAGCTCAAAATAACTGCAATAACTGCTAAAGCAGGGGAGGGAAGAAGAGACAAGGACACAAGCTCTTCTGTAAAAACTGCATGCCATTTCAGGGTCTTATAGTAGAGATCTGGGGCTGCAGAGAAAAAGGGACTGAGAAGATTTAGAGAAAGTGCACTGGTTTTGGATAAGGGCATTTGACGAAGACAAGGGAACACTGTGGCTCCCTCTTGTGAGATTAAGACTGTAGTTTATATTAAGAAGTCACAGATATGAGGCATAAACAGTTCTGCAGCAGTGAGAAGGGGATAGCCCTGACAGCACTTTTTGCTGTCATCTACTTTGCCAAAAAGATGTATCCTCTGTGTCTTCTCAGGGAACTGTGCACCCCTCTGGCTAATCTGACCTGACTGTGAGGGAAGCCCTGTACCTGCTGACCTGGACTGAGAATATCTCAGCAGGCAGCATAAGAGCTCAAGGGAAACACCTAGGAAAAGTAAAATTGCTTCTGGACTAGAACCATCCAGTCTGTCTGAATTAATTTCTGAATATAGCCCTCAAGGACAAATCCTGTTCCAATTCTAAGAATGACAAACCTCCCCTGCACTCCAGTGGGCTGTGGGAGGGATGGTATCTGCTGTACAAGCCTGGCTGAGGAATCAGCTGGGCAGTAATTGTATACTGCATTATGAATCTCAGTGCTACCGCAGGGAGGAGGACTAGTGGGCACAAGACCATCATCTTAACAAGCTGCCAGAGGGCACCAGCCCTGTCTTGCTGCAGCTCATCAACACCAGCCTAACAGCCTAGCCCAGCTTCCTGGGAATCCCCCGTACCTCCTTCTGAAAGTCTCCATGGTGCAATCCAGACCCACACCAGACCACACCACACAAAGAAGGAGACTGCAGCTGACCCCTATTCGTTTTGGCACAGTGTACACCATTCTGCAGGAGGCAATTGCTTTAATGCTGCAGGCAGCAATCTGCCAAGTTTCTCGATGCCTGGCACTCAGATGATACAGGTGCATCCAAAGCCCCAGGGGCTGGTGAGGGCTGGTGGAGAACTCACCTGGCTGGGTTCAAGATTGGGTCTGCAACCAGTGTTGGACGTGCCATGGTCTCTCTGCCAGTAAGATGCATTTGTCTGCACTTTTGCAGAGCCAGCATTTAACTTCACCCTGGTAAAAAGGCTGCAGAACACATATCCAGCATCTGTAATTCTCCAGTAAAGACAGCTGGGGCTTTGGAGCTGAACCTGCCTAGTGATAGAGAGTGCCATGTCTGGAGAATGGAGGCAATCAAAGCCTGACATCCTCAAGGACCAAATATCTCACAAATATTTCACTGCACACACAGTTTTCATAGGAATAAGAAGAAAGAAAGAACAAACTACATATGACAGGCATTAATTGGTTTGCACAGGCTAAACTCCACAAAGGTTCCTAGGACTGGTGACACTGACTGTTAGGTGCTCATTTTTACATACACATGGTCTAAAAAGGAGCTGTCACTGTTCCCTTTTGTATTGTATCCTTTATAAGAGGCTCAGGAACTGATTCTATTAATTTTGCAATTCATACCCTAATCTATCGCTTCCAGTGTTATCTGTGAAAAAAAAATAACTGTGATTCAAATTGCCACCACAACATGCAGCTTTTTTGTGTCTCTACATAAACAAACCTATCACCAAGAAAAAAAGGGGCCTATATATAAGAAGAAGTAACTCCTAGATTAGCAGTTAACTGGATTAGTTGTCACTTTTTGATCTGTTTCAGATGAAATCAGGGCTCCAGATAAAACAAGGTACTACAGAAGTCCACAGTCAGATGTCCCATTTACTGTCCCCACTCTTCTTGGTACCCAGTTCTCTAGCCACGAATGCTACACCAAATTTGACATCCGCATAAATAACTCCACCAACGACGCTGCCGCTACTTCGATCCACCGCTATCACAGAATTTGCAGCAACACATCAAAGAGATTCAGGACTTCTTTCTTTGCCTGTTCTGGCCGAGCCTGCCGAGCGGCGCAGCCCCTGCGGCCGGAGCGCGGCGGGAGCCGGAACGGGGCGCTGGGTGAGCAGATGCTGCCCCCTGCCTGGCTTCCCGCTTCCCTCCCTGCCTGGCTTCCCGCTTCCCTGCCTGGCTTCCCGCTTCCCTGCCTGGCTTCCCGCTTCCCTGCCTGGCTTCCCGCTTCCCTGCCTGGCTTCCCGCTTCCCTGCCTGGCTTCCCGCTTCCCTGCCTGGCTTCCCGCTTCCCTGCCTGGCTTCCCGCTTCCCTGCCTGGCTTCCCGCTTCCCTGCCTGGCTTCCCGCTTCCCTGCCTGGCTTCCCGCTTCCCTGCCTGGCTTCCCGCTTCCCTCCCTGGCTTCCCCCTTCCCTCCCTGCCTGGCTTCTCGCCTCCCGGCCCCGCTCAGCTCGCCTCGAGCCCAAGGACCCAGCTCGCAGCTTTTCCATGCTCTCCTGGGGTGGAATCATAGAACCACAGAGGTTGGAAAAGATGTGTAAGGACATCAAGTCCAACCGTGAGCTGCCCGGTCCACCACCACATCATTTCTCTAACCACCATGTCTGCATATGTTTTTGAATCCTTGCAGGAGTGGTGATCCCATCACTTCCCCAAAGCAGCCTGTTCCAATGCCTAACTATCCTTTCAGTGAATAATTTTTTCCTAATATCTAATCTAAACCTCCCCAGGTACAACTTGAGGCTGTTTGCTGCGTGTTACCTGGGAGAAGAGACCAGCCTCGCCTGTCTACAACCTCCCTTCAGGTTTCTCCAGAATAAACAACCCCAGTTCCCTTGGATGCTCCATGATCACATCTCCACTCCAAATTAGCAGGTATGCTACAGGAGGAAGTTCAAAAACAAGACAGTGGTAAAAGACAGGGGAAAAAAAAATAGTTATTTCCCTGGGAAAATAATTTTTGTAGGCTCCAGAAGGTCACTTTGACTGAACAGTTGCTCAAATTGCTGAGCATCATTTAAAAGGGGAAGGGCTTAAATCCATATCATAAGACAGTGGTAGATTATCTCAGATCTTTTTGGCCTGCACTACAGTCACTTTACCATACTTTATTAGATTTTGGGGTTTTTGCATTTTCTGTTTTGAATGACAACCAAGTCTGTAGCATCCTGTTATAACTGGAATCTGCAGCTTGTTGGAGAAATTGTACCTAAGCAGATAAGCTGCAATAAAGTTCCTTCGCTATTTTGCTCCTTCCAGCTGTAAAAATCAACACTGCAAATCCCACTGGTTTCCTTCCAGGGTCTGCTAAAATTCCAAAAGGAATGCAGCTTCTTTTTCCAAAAAACCCAGTCAAAGTGAACCTTAAATGCTGTAGACAGAACTTGGACAGTGTAGCAGCACATTCCCCCACCCCTCTCTGCGCCCATGCTTAAGTCATAACCACCAGTGGGAGTTGAGATGGCTGCATCCAGCTTGCTCTGGACTTGGAGGGACAGATGACAACATGGGAGCCAAGGACTATCCAGAAAGGTGTCCTAGAAGCCTTGCTGCTCTGCAAATATAAGTGAATCATTGTACCTCATAAATAGTGGGAAGCCCTCTAATCATGCATGTGACACTCCTGTGGACCTGCTCCAACACCTCCACATCTTCCTTGTGCTGGACCCCAGAGCTGGATGCAGCACTCCAGGTGGGATCTCACCAGCACAGAGTAGAGGGGCAGAATCCCTCCCTCACGCTGCTGCACACACCTCTTTGGATGCAGCCCAGGACACAGCTGGCTTTCTGAGCCACAAGCACACATTGCCAGGTCATGTCCAGTTTTTCATTCACCAGCACCCTCAAGTCCTTCTTGGCAGGGCTGCTTGCAATCTCCTCCCCTCCAGACTGTTGGTACTGAGGGTTGCTCCAACCCAGGTGCAGTACCTTGCACTTGGGCTTGTTGACCATTGTGAGATTTCCATGGGCCTACTTCTTGAGCTTCTCCAGATCCCTCTGGATGGTATCCCATCCTTCATGTGCCAGTTACACCACTCAGCTTGGTGTCAGTGGCAAACTTGCTGAGGGTGCACTGATCCCACTGTCTTTATCACCGATGAAGACATAAAATACACTGTTTCCAGCGTGGACTCTTGAAGGACAGCACTTGTCACTGATCTCTATTGGAACACTGAGCCATTGACCACCACCCTCTGGATGTGACCATACAATTAATCCCCCATCCACCTAACAGTCCACCCATCAAATCCTGCTCTCTCCAACTTAGAGAGAAGGATGTTGTGGGGGATCATGTCAAAGATCTTACACAAATCCAGACAGATGACATCCATACCCATTCCCTTATCCACTGATGTAGTCAACCCATCATAGAAGGCCACTATTCTGGTCAAGCACGATTTAAATGTGGATAAGTTGTGCTGGTTGTCCCAAATCACTTCCCTGTCCTCCATGTGCCTTAGCAGAGCTTCTGGGAGGATCTGTTTCATGATATTTCCAGGCACAGAGGTAACAGGCCCATAGTCCACAGAGCCCTCCTTTCTCCCCTTTTGAAAAATGGGTACAATGTTTCACTTTTTTTCTGTCATGAAGGAATTCACCTGACTGCCTTGACTTTTCAATGTCACTTATTGCCAAATAAGCATGGCGTATAATTTACCTGCTATCTGCAATGAACAGGAGGAAGCCAACAAGCAGCTCTACATTGTTGATACTTGAACCCACAGTGCTGCCAGCTTTGGTCATCCTTACATGCAGATTTGCATACTCTGCATCTCTGCCAGAATGCAATTTCAGGTTCTGTGTGGACAAAAGCCAAGGATTGGAGAAGGGAAATGGAGAGAAACATGAGTAGTTCTAAGGATTGGGGAGATTTGTCATCCATTTCTAGACCAGAGGAGGGCAACTGAGGGTCCAATAATGGGAGAGAAAATGAGGAACATCTAACCATGCAGCCAAAAAGTTAAAAATGTGAAAGTACCAAAGCAGACCCTGATTCCTGAGCAAATAGCTGCACCAAAGCATCACATTGTGGCTTGGAAGGGCTGCCATCTTGCCATAGCAGGGCAAGAATTCTCTCAAACTTATTTTTCCCATTGCACTGAGAAACCTGGAAACATCTCAGAGGAACTCAGAGAACATGACTTCTCTGTATAATTATATAGACATATAAAGACATCTGAATGGTTTAAAAGCTGTAGGAAAACATTTTATTTAGAGACAGGGTAAAATTATGACACCATCAAAATGCCAGGCATTATGGGTCACTGCCTTCACCCATGAGTCAAGATCTTATCAGCTATCTTCAGCTGAAAATATATAATTATCTCAACTATGCTTAACCAATGAAAGCCTGCAAAAGAGTAACTTCAGATTGGACCTATAATTTTTCCTTTTGATGATCAAAACACTTGTTTCAATTTTGCTTTAATTTCACTGAAACTTAAATTTTAAAATGAGTTTTTTTAAAAAATCCAACTGAAAAGTTGAAGTAGGATATTTGAACAACTTCTAGGCATTTTAAAAGAGATTTTAAATTTATTGAAATTGTCATTTTTCAATACAGAGTTTGAAAAATTAGCACTTTCTAGTGAAAAATCATTATGCTGGTCAACTTCTGAGCAACTCTACCACTGTCACATTGTGCCTTTCACTATGAGATGTTGCCAGTAGGACTTGAGGGTAACGGTCCTGCTGATGATTTTAGTCTGTTTAGATAATGAACCCAGGTAAAATCTCTGCCAAAATGACTGGCTAGGCAGCTTTGTCCAAGATGTATTGGTGACTGGGCAGGACGCTTACCCTGCTGTGGCTGACAGGACAGGTGAGTCACCCACTGCACCTCACTGCTCATGCACTGCTGATCCAGGCCGGCACAGCAATGTGCCACGTGCACACCTGGATGTGCCCATTAGGTTCCATCTAAAGATAAAGAATTTTTTTCCAGTGAGAATAATCATTCACTGAACTATGTTCCTGGGGTTGTGGTAGAGTCCCTGTAACTGGAGGTTTTGAAGACGTGATTGAACAGCGTGGTTGCTAATCCCACCTACACTCCCTTTCCGATAAAAGATTGGACTAGGTGATCTTCTGAGGTCCCTTCCATCCTGGACTGTCCTATGATTCTATGATTTATATGCCCACACGCCCATTAGGATATGAATAGTAAGTACAACTTATTCCAGTAAATGTTGGGTCCCTAATTTTTTGGCACTTTTCTATGAAATAGGTCTTCACACAGGAATGAAGAACACTGTTCTCCAAGACTTCAGGAGACAAGGTGAGTCCCAGGAGAAATCTGGAAGTGAGAGTTTTACTGAGTTTGGCAGATGAGGGCTGTTCCTCTTGTCCTACCCAGCACAGCTTTCAGATGCTGTCAGGGGATGTGACAAGAGCACTGTGAAAATGATCTGAAGCCCAGAGTACTCCCAGGGTCACGGAGAGTCTGCTCAGTATCCCTGTGTGCTGCTGAGAGCCTGTGGGGCAGCAGCTCTGTGAGAAATGTGAGAAAGGATTCATTCTGACTCTTTAAAACAAGCCATTACAGATTCTGTTGGAAGGATGGGCCAAATTCATTAAAATGTGAAATATTGTAAATTTATGAAATTCAGTAAAATACAGGGCTTCAGAAAATGCCAGCAAAACACAGTGTCAACACACTGGAATAGGCCAATCCTGGAACAGGCCTTTTAACATTTTAATACTATTGTCCTTAAACTTCTGGAAACAAATGATGATTGAAACAACAACAGGAAAATATTCCTGGATATTAAATAATGAGGGAATCCTCACTAACAGCATCTACAGACATCCACTTCAGTAACAATTAATAAAGTTTAAGTTTCAAAATAATGCCCAGGCTACACTGGTGAACTGACTTCTCTTACTCAGGGTTTGAGCCAAGTTGTGGCACACCAAAGAAAGCTAACAGTAGCTTCAGCAGACAGGTGTGATTCCAATATAACATCCATTCCAAGTGTATGGTCAAAAACAGAAGAAAAGAATTCTTGAGAGGACTCTTGCCTGTATGAGTGATAATTTAAAATTATTAAGGCTATATTGGTGCCACACCAAAGGACTCTCAGGCATAATAGTGTACCAAGCAAATGGGGTTTTTTGAGGTATAAAAATGCCCTGTTTGAAACAAATTTTCTACTTCAAAGCTTGCAATTTTCATTTTGGCATATCTTGCATCCTTCTTCTGCTTTTACTTTTTTCTCATTGATTATGTTATTCTTTTATTCTTTATTTTGTTTCACTACATTTTTTTGTCCCTTGGAACTGCTTTAACTACGCAGAAAGAAAACATTCTAGCTGCTATATTTATTAGGGTCTCCCCACTATGAATGAAAAATTAATTTAGAATTTGTTTTGAACTTGTCATGTGGCAAGAAGGATGGAAGAACTAATCAGAACTATCAGACCTGCCAGCCCCTTGAGAAATCTGCTGTGTGTCTAAGCTGCTAGGAGGTAGAAAATGAGAATAAAATTAAGGTCCCACCCATTAAAGGCACAAGCCTTGGTTCATGTGTCTTTGCAAAATGGCCATATTTATATTCAATAGTGAGTAATAAGGTTTCCAATAATTCCCTGTAAAAAGATGCTTTTAAACATAACTAAGAGTTCATCTTTTAAAGATCATCCATTTAAGTAATGAGAGCAAAGGCCAAAAAATGGAAGGAGGGACTTGAGAAGGACATGGCTGCTATGCCCTGTGAGGAAAATCTCTGGGCACAAAGTACTCTATTTGCTGCTCTGTGAAATGGAAATATTTGAGAATTCCAGTTGAAACCAAGGAAGATGCCTGGAGACAAAACCCCAACTATTTTTGCACTCTTTGATGTCAGCTGAAAAGCAAAGGCCAAGCAGTCTCAATCTGCAAAGCTGAGCTGAATCTGGAGAGAGGCATTCCTGACTCATGAGTCACTTGGCTTATGCCAGCCAGGGCACATCCACACTCAGGCTTGCAACAAGCATTGTGACAGATGTAGGAAATAACAAGCACAACGCTCTTCAGATGGTGCTTTCTAGCATGGAGTCACAGGGAGTAAATTCAAACATTGCAAACATTTTTCCAAAATTCAAAGCAGAATGTGGGTGCTCCAACTCCCCCCTGACTTCAGCAGCTCTGCCCTTCCTTCCAGGAGCCAAGGACCTGGAGGGCATGCACACATCATGCAGCTTTTGTTTCAGCAAATGATGGGGGGTGTTTTGTTGCCATTGAGAGGCCAAGTTTAGGAATCAGAAGGTTCACAGATACAGCACCAAAACAAAGTGCTTCTTACACTGTTGTACCTCTCTGGCCTTACATTTCGTCCCTATCAGTACATTAAACAAATTACCTGGTTTCCTTACAAGTGAACCTGATTCCCATAAGGTTCCAAGAGGAGGACTGAGTTTTGCTAACCATATTTAGGAACACAATAATTTCTAGATAGCTCAGGCCAGAAGTCCATTTAGTGCAAAACACTAGGATAATGTGATTTACCAGAGGATCTACCCAGTTATAATCATCTCAATAAATATCCTTTCCAAAGTCAGCTTCTATCACAGGGGAGTAGTATTTCTTTCTAGGCTAAGATCTGGGTTACAGAAGCTCCAACAAATTCTAGCACTAACAGTTCTGTTATGTATAGGACAATGATAGAAATAGTATATCATAAATGTCAGGATCAAGTTCTCATAAAATATAGGACTAATCATAGGGACAAAATTAAAGAAAAAACAATCCACCTTGTTATGAAGTGGCTGTTCATCTTCTACATGGTGAGATGGGCAGGCAGGTCATCGGGTCATAATTTCATGCTTATCCACTCTAATACCAATTTCTCTCCTAAATCAGTCCTGTCAGTTCAAGAATTTTTCAATTCTTTATCTTGTTCGTTCTTCTGAAACTGTTCAAGCTAATTTATTCTTCCTTTGAGGACCTGGATGCATATTGAATTTTAAAAGGTGTCTTTCTTCCAGTCTTTCAAGAAGATAAATTTGCATTAATTACAATACAGTGACATTAGAGTCTTCAGGAAAGGCTTGTTTGGATTATTGACTGGACCCAGAATACAACTGCCAATAAATCCACACATCATATTTATACATTTACTAAATCATTCTTCCCACATTCCATTATCCTCTATCTTCTATACCATCTCCAAAGCCAACTTAATAGTTATTTTGAGAAAGTTACAGGAAATCTAAAGTTTGCAGTCAAAAATAACTTGTCACTAAAACAATGTACTTCCTAGGGTGCTTAAAATAGCTTTCACCTTTAAAGGTATGGAAGTCATTCTAATTTCCAAATGCATTTATAAAATCCTTCAAGTACTTCAGCTGTTTATGATATCATTATCTCTGTGACAATGACACAGACACAAAGATAATGGATTCATTTCTTCTCAACAAGACTGTTGACAGGTTGATTGTAAGAAACCCTTTCTTTTATAGTTCCTACTTTTATTTCCTTTCATGGCTTTCAATATACACTTTCCATATTACAAAAAGCAAACAAATTGGCTTATTTTCTTAAATACCTGTACAGAAAAAGCTTCACCTATCTGGATAGGATTTTTTTCTTCACTCAGTAGCATGCATAGTAGATAATGATTCAGTCAGATCACTTAGGTTTTTTAATTATTACTTTCATAGTGTAACTCTAATCAAAATGGAAAATCATAACAGCACTGTGTTCATCTTCATGTCCCAAGGACCTACACAGTTACATCCCATGAGAAATTCAAATTACTGGTTTGGTGACTTATCTGGTTGCTCTGGTGGCACTTCAGGACTCAGCAGGGTGAAGCTACAGCATGAGGAAAGGGACATGATGTGTCCCTGGACTGTGTTCCTGCTGCCAAGGAAGCTCATAGTGGCTGACAAATGTACAGACAAAGCTGCAGGGCATGGAGCTTCAGAGCCAGCGCTTGTGACTGCTCACACTTCCAGGCACAGATGCACATCTGGTCACAGCTGTACTTTGAAAGACACAGAAATTGCTGGTGTCATTGCTTGTGTCTTGTCTAGAGTGAAAATCTGACCAAGAGCCAAGCAAAGGAGGACTGTGGAGGCTATTCCCTGTATTGGATCTTGTCTAATCACCTGCATGTCACTTTCATAGAAGTTCTGTAACCAGTCCCTGATGAACATGTTTGCTACAGAATAAAGACAATGCATAGACCTACAATTTTGCTTCCTCTTCTTCTTCTAGCTTAGAAGTGAAAAGAAAACAGTATTAAAGTGAAGCAAAGTTGAATGACTGCTTTTTCCTCCCCTCTTTTCCAAGAGAGTGTGGATGTTGCACTCACCATTTGCCAAAGCTGAGAGCTACACAAACACCCCACCAGGACCAGAATCATCCTTCACTGCTTTTCCTGCCCAGGCAATCTCAATGCTAAGTACAAAGAGAAGTAGTGCTTCCTAAAGACACCATTAAAAAAGCAGTTAATATAAAAGAAAGGGAGACTTTTCCCCTAATTTCTGTAAAGAATGTCAGTTTCCTTTTAAGAGTTTGCCTTTCACAAATAACCAATTTTAAATTACTGAAAATTCAAAAGGATTATATTGAAAAAATCTCAGTTTTTACTTCAGGTGGACCTAATTTTATTTTGACTCTTCATAATTAGATGGGGAACACATTTTGTGATTGGAAATATATATAATATAAAACATCAAAGAAAAATTGCATATAAGAGCTATCTATAAATTCCATTAAGGTAAAATATTAATTTTTCAAACTTGAATGGACAGTTTTAACTTCAACAGGATCCTTCATTTTCACATAATCTTAGGATATGATATTTTAAGGTTGACAATGCAGCACATTGTAAGAGAATATTTGACTGAAAAATCACCACTAAATAAAAATGCAGGCAGATCAGGTCAGGGCCATTTTGCATTCATTCAGGACAAAGGGAAGTGTTTCCTCTCAGGGTCCTTGCCCTTGCCAAGCCTGATGCTGTTGGCAGCAGCAGCTCCAGCTAATGTAAAATTAATTTTACATTAGTTGAAGAGTGGTGGGTAAATTTGCTGGTATCAGCCATTGCACCCTGCAGCACATAAGCTGCTGCTGTGAATAAAAGACTGGCTGGGCTCCTCTGGAGAGCATCTTCCTTCACACCGCCTTGGCCTGGCTCTGCAAAAACACCTCCGGAGCTGGTAACCATCTCCCAGCCCTCGGGCTTGCACACGAACCTCCGCTGTGAAGTGCTGGCACACGACTGAAAGGCTTTTTGCGTGTTAAACTTAATGATTTGCTGTGCCTAAACCGAGGCAGCTGCAGGACTGCCCCTGCCCAGCCCTGTGCTACGAACATCACCCACAAGGAGGAGCCCCACTTACAAATAATTCATTTAGAGAAAATACCAGAGTTCTGCCTTGGCCGTACCCAGGCTAAAGAGATTAGCGAAGAACCACTCACTGATAAAAGAAACAGTGGCGTTCTTTTCAACTAAACTCCCAACAGAAGGAAGATTCGCCAGATAGGGGATGTTTGCCTAATTACATTATCCCAACTTTTCCCAATTACAAGGAGAACAAATGTTTTGTGACTGGAAATGAACCCAAAGAGAAGGAACATCAAAGACCAGCTGCCTACAACAAAAGCCTACAAAATAATTTTTTTTTTCCTTACACTCAATTAGTTACGATGCCAAGCACGTTTTGCCCAGGCAGGAAGGTGTGATTAAGTGAAACTGCTTCCCTGGGAACTACAGCACGATGGAGAAAGAAACACAGTAAAAGTTAGTAGAAAGATTTACACTATAAAGCTACTGCATGAATGTGCAATGTTATGAATAAAAAGTTATCTATTTTTTAAGGTTGCAGGGTTGAACCAATTGCTGTTAAGTTAGCTTAATTGTTAAGAGTTCTTCTTCAATTACCTGTTAATGGTTGGTGATTAACCACTGTCCCCCTGATGCTTGCCAGGGAGCGACACCGGACCCTGCAGGTACCAGGAGAATGGGAGTGGCATCAGAGCTAGTATGCAGATGAGAATGCATTGCACCAAATTTTGCAGTTTTCCAGTAAAACCCCTAAAAACAACGAGCCAACACAGAATTAGGGGACCTAGGTGATGTCTAAGGATGGGGAGCGTAGTCCAGTGCCTGCTTGGATCCTTTTTGCTTCTCACCCTAACCTCAAAGGATGTTGACTAGAGAGAGAGGACCCGAGGTGTTGGACCAAAAAGGCAGAATCTCCTGATCTCCCGTGAGGACGGAATCCCCAGCTCTGCCTACAGACCAGGAGACAAAGCTGAATCATCATCCTCCTCCTCTGTACCCCTCCTGGGAGAGATTGTGGCGTGGGCGTGACCTGTTGATTTCTCCCCACCTGAGTTGGTCCTTTTTAATAAAGGCATTAGAAAGGAAAAAGATCTCCTGCCCATTTATTTCATGCAACAGCAGTTTTCATTTTGAATTTACTGTGCTTATTTCAGAATTACCCATAAAGCTTAGTTTAACTGAGCACTGTCTTTGTGAATAGCCCAGTTACTATCTTACAGCTACATCAATCTGGAGAAGAAGAGTAAGAAGAGCAAATGTGCAAACAGTGGTGCATTATGACTTCCCTTGCTCGATTTTCAGGTGTCCTGAGCCTTCTGAAAGCAGTTTGCAGCCAAAAGGGTGCATGCACACTCTGAGCCTGCATGGGCATGGGCTTTTGAAACTGTAATCCAAAGCTTGAGGTTTGCAAATTGACTGTGTTTCAAAACTCCATCTTAAGCAACTTGCCTACAGTTACCCAGTCATGCCTGGTAGAATATGGAACAAAATCCATACCAGTCAAAGATCAATAAAATGCTGCCAGATACCGCAAAAGCACAAACAATGATTTATCTTGATTTCACTTGAGGAAGAATTTAATTCAAGATTTCTTTCATGTAGGTGGGTTTTAGCTCAGTTTTCAGCTCACTCATTTTAAAAGCAGTGTGGTTTTTCCTTCCTGTTTGTAATTTATTTTACATACCCAGAAGTCACAGTAAGGTAAGCAGTTTCTCTCTTTTTTATCTGTCTGCTGCTATCTTGATTACTTTTCAGTTTAAGTTGTTGCCTACTTTGCAAGGTAAAATCACCTGAGCTGTTAAGATTTCAGAAGAAAAATCTCATTTTTTTTTTTTCCTGCATGATTCAGAAACAAGTACCTTCAACAGATTGTTTTAATAAAATTGATTAAATGCTGTACCTATGCATTCTAACAAAACTCTGCCCTGCTATGATACCGGCTGGAAGGTCAATCCAGAAGGAGACAAAGCAATCTGGGGGTTACTAGAGTGAGCAGTTGCTAACAAATATGATAACAGATCTAATGGGGGCAAAACATTCTGCTGGACCCCACACTTAAAACCAAGGAATACAACCAAGGAAGAACTCATCAGGGATGTGAAGGTCACAGGCAGCTTTTGCTGCAGTGGCCATGAAATGGCGGTGGAGCCCACAAAAAGGAAACAAGGAAAATAGCAGGATCGACCCTGGAGTTCAGGAGAGCAGGTTGTGGCCTCTGAATGTGTCTGCTTGGAGAAATCCTGTGCAACGCATCCATAGAGAGGAGAGGGGACCAGAAGAGTCAGCTGAGTTTCAAGTATCACCTCCTCCAGCTTCAGAATGATCCATCTCAATGTTCAGGAAATCAGTCAAAGGCAGGAGGCAGCTACAAATATGAGCAAGGAGACTGACAAAGCTCAAATAGAAAGTGTTCTACAAGAGGTAGAAGCAAGGATGGGGAAACTACCTGGAATACAGAGGTGCTGTCCAAGCACACAGGGGCAGGGTTAGAAAAGGCAAAACCCATCTGGAGCTGAGCCTGGTAAGGAATTGTGAACAGCAGCAAAGACATCTGCAAGTATATCACCTGCAAAAGCAAGACAAGGGAAAATGTGGGCCTGCTGCTGAATGGGGTAGGGGACACAGTAACAAAAAAGCTGAGGTACCTGTGTTTACTGGTAAGGCCAGCCTTCAGGAACCTCATGCTCTCAAACCCGTGAGAAAGTTTGGAGCAAGAGGAAGAAGTTAAGAAACATTTAATTAAAAACAAAGGGATATTAAAGTCCATGGGGCCTCATGGGATGTATCCATGTCTCCTGATAGTGCTGGCTGATGTTGTTGAGGCTACTCTCAGTTATTGTGAGAGATCATGGTGATCAGGAAAAGTTCCTCAACTGTAGAAAAGAGTGAATGTCACTCCTGTCTTCAAGTAGGACACAGAGAACTACAGGCTCATCCCCCTTATCTCTGTCCTCTGGAAAGTGATGGAGCAAGTATTCCTGCAGAGCACCTCCAAATAATTGAAGGATAGGGTTACTAGGAGCAGCCAGCGTGGACTTCCACAGAGCCCTGTAACACAGGGTAGGCATTGCTAGCAGTGGACCATAAGCTTTGCACTGAATTTGCAAGGCCTCAGGATAGAGTCTTCCAATTTGCTTTATCCAAATTTGTCTTGACCTGCCTGAAGCTTTACTTAAATTGGTTAGCTGCGACAGCAATTTTGCTAACTGACCAGGAAGTTAAACAAGAGAGTTGAGCTAGATGATGCCCAGAGGTTTCTGGCAACCCCCTCTATTCTGTGAAAATAGTCTAATGAAATTAATCTAGAATTTACCTCCCATTTAAGAAATGTACCGAGCATTTTTAAAATTCTTTGACTTAACACAATTTCAAACCACAATTTCTCCTTATTCTGACCCTCTCTTTTTTTGACTCGAGTGAAGGAATGATAAGTAGAGCTGGTGAAACATGTTTGGGAGGAGCTTAGAGATACAGAATATCTTATTCAAGTTCTTAATTTTAAAAAAAATTGTTTAACTGAAATTGTAAGAAAAAAGGTAACTAGCAAATAATGGATATTTAGTATTGCTATTCACTACTTCTTTGACAAGTAATTCAGCAAATTCATTGGTTTAAATCCTTGGTATTTAAGTATAGGAAAATACACATTTTGACTCCAAGATATCTTTTGCAGCCATTGTAACTTATGCTGCTTTTTAGTTTTTTCTTACATCTGCAAAGACCTGTTTCTTGAGTAGGTCTATTGATTTTTTTAAATCAAGAGTAGATCAGAACTGGCATCAAACATTTACTCAAACATTATCTCTGTCCTTATAATTAACCACCAGCTTTTCAGATTTTTATCTTTCTTTTACAAGAAAACCTGGAACTTACAATGGAAATTATTTGTTTCTTCTAGGTGTGTTAGGCTTTTTGTTGGTTTTGTTTGTTTTTTTTCAGCTGGAACAGGATATTTTACTTTATATTTTACAAACTTTCATCCAGACCAATAATGTTTTTATTGTCATGGTATATATAGGATTGCACATTAAATTATTAAGCTTAAGATCTGAGTAAAGTTTTCTTTTTCCTTTGGGTTTTGTTTTCCTGTTATGTTTTGCTGTCAGGTGTGGATGTATTACTATCCCTGATAGTCAAATGCTCTAGAATGCAATTTTGGCTTAGTTCAGGCAATGATTGATCAATTTGCTATTGCAAAGTCGAAATGTATGTTGCAGTTACGTTCCTGGCAGTTCCTGCCCAAACTATCACTACAGACATTATTCACTGTTCTACTAAATTCTCACCAGTGGAATGTTCTGGCTACTGAATTTTTCTCAGAGAAAGTTTCTGGAAATGAAACACCCCCAAAAGTGCGATTTTTATCCGATGATAAAAATTTTAGTTCTCTGCCTATGAAGCTGCCAGGCATCATGTGATCCTCCCAGTTTTGCAAACAATTCAGTCATCTGATTATTTACTCCCCTGCTGGTAGGAGTTGACCCATTTGTCTCTGATGGACTGGCAGGATCTCTCCAAATGCCTTGAGGAAATGCTTTCAATTTAAGGAATGCACATGGACACCATTTGCATACTTGCAGAACTGCCCTTGGGGGAGGGTGATTTAAGACAGACAAAATGAACTCTCTGTCTTCAGGATAGCAGCATTCACTTGAGGTATGGAGAACAAGAAAAACCTGTTGAACAAGGGAATGCCACAATCATTAGCATTCATTTGGGCAGAAACTGGTGGAATGCAGGACAGCAAAACTTTGGCATTTTAACAACTGTGAAAATATCACCATGTAGTTGCTTGTCACTACATTTTAAGCCAAACTTAACTTTTCATGGTCTACAAAGATATCTCCAGGGCTCAAAAACCTCTGAAAAAAACCACACAGGCATCATTCAAATTATAATGACTGAAAAAGAGTGACAGAAAAAAAAAATGAAGTGACAAGTTCTCCTCAGCTTCGATTTTTTTCCTGTACTTAGTTTTTTTCTGAACTTTTCTTTCATCCTCACTCATGCCTTTCTTTCTGTCTCCTGTACTGAGGTGCCATTGCAATGTAAAAATCAAGAAAGTACTGTTTTGTAATGTCCACTGCCCTTGGATTTTAAAATTCCCTGCACCCATACATTTGACTGTGTCTCTCTTTTCATATTTGCACAGAAACAGTAAACATTTAAACATCAGAACAACAGCAGCTGTTCTTTGTTCAGCTTTTGTTGTTTTGGTTTTTTGTTTTGTTTTGCTGTGATCTTCATCTTAGACATTCAGTGTTCTTTGTTCAGCTTTTGTTGTTTTGGTTT